TTGGCTGCAGCAAGTCTTAGTTGTGGCCTGCAGGATCTTCCATCTTTGTTGCGACATGAGGGACATTTAGTTGTGGCTTGTAGAATCACAGTTGGTATCTCGTTGCCAGCCCAGGGACCAAACCTGGGCCGCCTGCTTCTGGAGCTTGGAGTCCTGGCCACTGGACCATCAGGGAAGTCCCTTAAACTGGTAATGACAGTATAAGATGCCATTGGGTTGGTATATGATGTCATTCATTAGTTGTCATTTGGTGAGTTTCACCTTTATGCTGTTGTCAACACCCCTGCAGTGAAGACCTTCATGCGGACATCACATTGAAAACAGCCTGGGCTTGAGTCCTCGTTCTGAGTCTAGTCCTTTGACCTCAGTGTGTGCCCACGTGCTCCGTTGCTCTGCCTGGGGCATCCGCCCGAAGCCCTGGATGATTAGCTAGATGCTGGAAATGAAAACTTGAAAAAAATAGCGTGGTTATATGGCATACTCTCAAACCCCGCCAAAGTAATTTCTAACAGAGTGAGCAAACACGCTCCACAGTCCTTTTTAAGGCCTAATGACATGTGCTTCCGAAGCAACTGATAAATGAGTATTCAACTCTTGCACAGAACGAAACAGGAAATGACTCCTGAGAAGTTTCAAAGTTTTCATTATGTCACTATCCTTCATCGACTTTCTCCTGAAGTGGATAGTTCATTCAGTTCAGTTATTTCGCCAGCATTTTGAACCTTGCTGTAACAGATTCTACTGGGTGGTGCGGCTTACTTTGTCAGGGCTGACTCATCGCCACAGAAGAGCAGGCTGGCTTTGTGAGTCATCACAGGCAAAGAGGCCAAACCTGGAACAGATTTCGTTTCTAGTTCTTAGCTGTTTGAGAGATGTGCATTTTTACAAGGCTTGGTTGCAGTTTTTTAAGCACATACCTGCCTTTAACGATTCCTCCAAATAATTCCCAGTATATATACATTCGTATGTGTGTACATCTGAGTGAAGTGAAAGTCGCTCGGTCGTGTCCAACTCTTTGCGACCTCGTGGACTGTACAGTCCATGGAATTCTCCAGGCCAGAATACTGGAGTGGGTAGCTGTTCCCTTCTCAAGGGGATCTTCCCAACTCAGGGACTGAACCCAGGTCTCCCACATTGCAGGAAGATTCTTTACCAGCTGAGCCACAAGGGAAGCCCAATATGTATATATATGCGTGTATATGTACACATACACTTTTCTTGCTGGTAACCTCATGTCCTATGAAGGTAGGATGGTCAATTTTTTGTTGCAGAACTTGACATCTGAAGGATTTGACCCTGCACTTAGCAGGCTTCCTTGGAGTTTTGAGGGTTAGCCCAACCATGTCTGAACCCCTGTTATAGAGGGGTGGTGGGCAGTGGTGCTGTATCCCCTCTGTGATTTCTTGTTGCTGTGTTTCAACACCATCACAGGAGGGAATGACTCTGGTCTCCGTGGGAGAGTGATTCAGTAGTTACTGTTGTAAGTTTCTGATGGCAAACAAGACTCTTAAGGTGGATAACTGAATGAGTTGTGTTTGCAGGTGTGAGTGAATCTAATTCTTGCCACAATGCACTGGCTCAGTATAGAACAATTGTAATTGTTCCCAAAGGTTCTAATTAAAACCCCTGATGCCTGTAAAAAGTGCCATGTAGCTGCCCCAAGACCCGAGCATGGCTTCTTAGCAGTGGGCAGACCCTGGTCTGTATTTGCTTTCTACACAATTGAAGGCAACAATACTTTTCCTTTGCCTGTATAAATGATGAGTTGAGATCAGAGCTGAAAGTAAAATTTTAGGAATTTAGATAATGTCTCATTCATCTTTTCCCTTTCTGCAGAGGAAAAGAGGGTCCCTGATCTGCCGCCGCTGGTCACACAGTCAAAGTAAAAAACAGGACTAGAACTCAAATCCAGCTCCGTTGATTCTTAATTAACGCTCTTTCCACTGTGACATTACTTTGTAAGGCTTGGAAGATAACTTACATAAATTCAAGGTGTTATCATTCTTGCAAATAATCACTTGAAATATTCAGACATCACATCCTTTCCCCCTGAAAATATAAAATTTTACTTAAATTATATGAACTGTCTTAAGGGCTTTATAGATACTGAAAATAAATTGTTTACTTCTACTGTTTTAAAAAGTGATCTGTGACTTAGTCTTTCCAAATAAAATCCACATGGGTTAACAGAAACCTTAAGCAAGAAGAAAATTCACAAAAGAAAGCAGACGTATATTCTGCAATGGACATTTTAAAAATACAGTTGTAGGATTATATTCTTTCTTCAAACATTTATTGAAAATCACTTATTTAGGAACTGGGTTAAGAAGCTGCTTGGAGTTCATTTTATCGTCTGGCTCCTAAAATATTCATGGAATATTTCTGGTGTCAATAGTCTTCCCCCACCCCCATACTCTTCCCCAGATCTTTAAGTCATCTCTGGAGTTGAAAAATTGATTTGAGTGTTTAGACAGTTATTTACTTGAGGAAATAGCTAACTGATTTTTCTAGCCTCTCTGTGTAGGTGTCAGGAGAAATATCCCCTAGAAAAGGTTGGTGAAGGGTAGTAGATTCATAGGCACCCACGAAATGCTAATAGGTGGGGTGTTGAAATTTGTTACTGCCCTTACAGGGAACTATGTGAATGTAATCATAAATAACAGTTTATGACCCACCTAGGACACAAACTACCCCAAACTAGACAAATTGGAGAAGATTTCAGAGTTTGTAACTTTTAATGAGATGAAAGGGGAGAAAAAAGGAGAGGGATCTCTAAGTGTACGTTCTCCAGCACCCAGTAAACAGGTTTTTAATTCACAACTGTGTATGCGCCCCAGGTGACACCATGACTTCCTCTTACATAAAATGACCTTTTACCGGGCTTCATTCATAGCACTTGGCTTCCTCCTGGAGTCACAGCATTTGTCACAAGGCAGCGGGTTGCCTGCTTGTTCTTATGCAAGTGATGACTGGGAGGGTGTGATAGAGGGTGATGCTGACAGCCCCTCTTGGACAGCAGATTGTCAGCATTCCTGACCCGGGCACTCCAAGAGCCTGGGAAAACACTTTGATTTCAATGTGGCTTTAAAAAACAATATCCAGTTGAACAAAATGACTGTGTCAGATAGGTCCACAGAGCAGCTTTTGTGGAATTAGCTAACTCTTGATGCCCCTAAACAAATTCCTAATGATGGTAGTGTCATAAAAAGGGCACTCTTATTTATGTGTCTTTAACTTGACACAGAAAATCAAAACTCTACTCAGCCATAAAAAGAATGAAATTCTGCCACTTGTAAAATGTGGATGTCCCTAGAGGATATTACACTTAGTGAAGTAAGCCAGACAGAAAGAAGAACACTATGTTATCATTTATGTGTGGAACCTAAACTTAAAAGAAAGGAATGTATATAACAAAGAGAAATAGACTCACAGATATACAGAGTGAACTAGTTGCCTGTAGGGAGAGGAAAGGGTGGAGGTTCAAGATAAGGGTATGGTTTTAAGCGGTATTAGTACAAACTTCTGTGTATAAAATAATTAAGCAATAAGGGTATACAGTATAGAACAGGGAAATATAGTGATTACTTTAATAACTAAATGGATTATAATCTATAAAACTATTGAATCAGTATATTGTACACCTCAAACTGATACAATGTTATGAATCAGTTATACTTAAAAAAAGGAGAAAATCGAAACTTCAAACTTACTGCATAGAAATTGACATATAGAATAGGGATTAGAGACAGTGTTTGTGAATTTGATACAAAGAAAGAATCAGGTCTGAAATGGGCAGTGTGAGTTGGGGAATGTGAAATGGGGAGTGGTCAGAGTGGGCAAGAGGATTCTACCTTCCTGATGGGCAAGGCTGGGAGATCCAGGCAGGCAGGCCTGGGCAGGGAAACGATCTTGCAAGAAAATGGAGGGAAATGGAACGTGTTCTTCTGAAAAATGTCTTTAATTCTTGCTTTCCCCAAGTACCAATGAAAGTTTCCCTTTTTCTCAGGATGTAAAGTTCCTATGGACCTTGAAGATTTTGGTTGGTTTTTCACAAGTAATTAAGAGCACTACTTTTTTAAAAAGGGGGGAGTAAAGAATTAAGCTTTCTTCTCTCTTTTGAAGACTTTGTTTCTCCTGTGAGTCTCTAAAAAAGGAAATTAGCACAGAATAAAGTGAAACTTCTGTGTGTTTTCTGTAGGCTCAACTCTCTTAAACATTTTTCTGTAATTTGAGTTTGAAAAGTTAGCATTCATTATTCTATTTCCTCCTGGATCCTAGCTCCCCAATAAGGAGTGTAAGGTATAAAGAAATCCTACCTCTCCCTCAGGAATGATATTAGCAATTAATTTAGGCAAGGTACATAAAGTGCTTAGCCTTGTGCCAAGTCCATAGTAAGTGCCCCATAGGGGATGGCTCCAACACTAGCAGTGAGGCAGAGGTGTGATGGGATGTGCAAGACAGTGTCTGGCTCCAGAGGCTGGCTTCACAAGCTTACGTTTTTTGTTATATTTTTTTAAAATAATGTTTTATTAATAATACACTTTAACAAAACTGATTGCTAATTCAAATATAAATAAAACAATATATACTTTAAAATGAGAATTAAGAAATATACCTATGTAAAAATCAGAACTATTTCTTCAGATTTTGTCAGTTATTAATAAGCCTGATTCTACTCAGCAGATCTAACTGAAAAAAAAAAACTTAAAATTACTTTTTCTATAAGTAGAAGATGCTTTAAAAGATATTATGTGCATGCACAGTGGCAAGCCTATAGGGATGCAAGCAAGAGTAAATTGTAAGTCTTCAAGAACTTACATTTGAAGAAAGGGAGAAGATGAGACATAATCCTATCGGTGGTGTAGTACTAATCATAAGTACTTCATAAAATATTAGTAATATTTCAGTTCAGTTCAGTCTGTAGGTCACGTCCAAACCCATGGACTGCAGCATGCCAGGCTTCCCTGTCCATCACCAACTCCCAGAGCTCGCTCAAATTCATGTCCATCAAGTCGGTGATACCATCCAACCATCTCATCCTCTGTCATCCCCTTCTCCTGCCCTCAATCTTTCCCAGCATCAGGGTCTTTTCAAATGAGTCAGTTCTTCGCATCAGGTGGCCAAAGTATTGGAGCTTCAGCTTCAGCATCAGTCCTTCCAATGAATATTCAAGACTGATTTTCTTTAGAATTGACTGGTTGGATCTCCTTACAGTCCAAGGGACTCTCAAGAGTCTTCTCCAACAGCACAGTTCAAAAACATCAATTCTTCAGCACTCACCTTTATTTATGGTCCAACTCTCACATCCATACATGACTACTGGAAAAACCATAGCTTTGACTAGATGGACCTTTGTCAGCAAAGTAATGTCTCCACTTTTTAATATGCTGTCTAGGTTTGTCATAGCTTTTCTTCCAAGGAGCAAGCATCTTTTTATTTCATGGCTGCAGTCACCATCTGCAGTGATTTTGGAGCTCAAGAAAATAAAGTCAGTCATGGTTTCCATTGTTTCCTCATCTATTTTTCATGAAGTGATGGTTTCCATTGTTTCCCCATCTGTTTGCCATGAAGAGATGGGACCAGATGCCATAATCTTAGTGTCTTGAATGTTGAGTTTTAAGCCGGCTTTTCACTCTCCTCTTTCACTTTCATCAAGAGGCTCTTCAATTTCTGCCATAAGGGTGGTGTCATCTGCATACCTTGGGTTATTGATATTTCTCCCAACAATCTTGATTCCAGCTTGTGCTTTATCCAGCCCAGCATTTTGCATGATGTACTCTGCATATAAGTTAAATAAACAGGATGACAATATAGAGACTTGACGGACTCCTTTCCCAATTTGGAACTAGTCTGTTGTTCCATGTCTGGCTCTAATAGTTGCTTCTTAACCTGCACACAGATTTCTCAGGAGGCAGGTAAGGTGGTCTGGTATTCCCATCTCTTTATTAGTAATAGCAGTAGCAACAACTAACATTTATTGGGTATCTACTAAGGTTGCACAGTGGTAAAGAATCCAGAAGATGCCAATGCAGAAGATGCAGGAGACAATGGTTTGATCCCTGGTTGGGGAAAATCCCCTGGAGGAGGAAATGGCAACCCACTCCAGTATTCTTGCGTGGAAAATCCCATGGACTGTAGCCAGCTAGGCTCCTCTGTTGGACATGTCGCAAAAGTTGGACATGACTGAGCAGCTAAGACACACTAGGTTCTCAGAGAAATCTGGAGCACTAAAACTAGAGCCTCTTCCCCTAGTGGTCCTTCTCCAGCAGCCCGTCTACAGATTCCCTGACAAAATACAAATCAGAGAAATAGAAGAACTGAATGCTTCTTATTCATGCACAACAGGAGGAGCACTTTAGTGTTTATTCTACTCTGAAAGCTTCTTTTATTCTTTAGGGAGTTCCTTCAAAGGTCAGCAAAGGGTAGTAGAAAGAATTCTGGATTCTTGACTTGTTGCTAACAAGCTCTGAGAGCCTAAGAAGATGATTTTGCCTCTTTGGACTTCAGTATCTCTTTAAAAATGTTTTTTATTGAAGTATAGTTGATATACAATTTTGAAAGAAAATATATTTCTTTTTCATATTCTTTTTCATTATAAGTTATTACAGGATATTAAATATAGCTCCCTATGAGATCAGTCCTGGGTGTTCATTGGAAGGAATGATGTTGAAGCTGAAACTCCAATACTTTGGCCACCTCATGTGAAGAGTTGACTCACTGGAAAAGACCCTAATGCTGGGAAGGATTGGGGACAGGAGGAGAAGGGGACGACAGAGAATGAGTTGGCTGGATGACATCACCGGCTCCATGGACATGGGTTTGGGTAACCTCTGGGGGTTGCTGATGGACAGAGAGGCCTGGCGTGCTGTGACTCATGGGGTCGCAAAGAGTCAGACACGAGGAGGATGTGTTTGACTCTCAGTCCCTCATACGCTGTGTGACTTTCCACAAGTCACCTAAGGTTTTTGAACTTCAGCTTCCTCACCTGTCATATGGCAATAATGAAACCAGTCCCATAGAACTGTTGTGAGGATTGTAATAAATAATCTATGTGAAAGCACTTTGCAGATGATCACTAAATATGATCAAGAGATATGTCATTAACCCACCCTAGGTCTTCCTTTTTAGTTCTTAATGTTGAATATCTATATTATACCAAAATAAAGAAAAGGGAGAGAGAGACTGAGTTTGTATGTTTTCTACAATGACAGAGGAAAGGGTTTACAGTTTATGCCCAGAAATCAAAATATGGTCTCTTCAGTTCATCTAACGAGTTTAGATACAACACCAAAGACCTCTTCCCCCACTGGGAAACCTGTGTCTATTCAGGCAAAACAGCTAGGAAGAGTTTGTCTCCACTGTCTGCTAAAGAGCATCCCTGTCTTGTGACTTCTTCATTTCAGTCCACTGGAGCCATAGTCAGCAAAAATCTCTAACTTACAAAGCCATCTGTTTTTATTCTGTGTTTTACTCCTCTCCTTCATTTAGGTAAAAGAAGAAAACTACAATAAGGCATGCTATTCTGTGGGGTTTTGACAGTCCAATATACCTTCAACTCAACCTCCTATCCAATGAATATCCAATGGCACAATGAGATCTACTCATCAGTGTGATGACAGATGCTAAATGATCCAACTACCTGATTAGTTGCTAAGGATGGAATATATTCTTACATGATCTAGAATTATTTTCTGTTCCATGGCTTGAAATGAAAATGTGTGCTTCTTCTTTTTTTAATAGTTATTTGGTTGCTCTAGATCTTAGTTGAGGCCTGGAGGAATCTTTACTTGCAGCACATGAACTCTTAGTTGCAGCATGTGGGATCTAGTTCTCTGACCAGGAATTGAACCCGGGTCCCCCGCATTGAGAGTGCGGAGTCTTAGCCACTGGACTATCAGGGAAATCCTCAAAAATGGGTGTTTCTGAAAGACTTAATGTAGGCAGAAAATGTATTTAAGCTGAATCCTCTATCACCTTGAATACACTTGTGAGCTGTGTTTTACTTCAATAATGTAACCAGGGAGAATAAAGATGGAGAAAATAATACAGACTGAACAGTAATATTTGCTATTTTCTGAGCATTTACTTTATGACAGGTTCTTTACCATAACAGTGCTCTGAGATGTGGATATTGTTATGGCCCTTTTACTGAGAAGAAAACAGTAGCTGCTTGGGACTTCCCTGATGTATAGTGAAAAAAAATTTGCCTGCCAGTGCAGGGGATGGGGGTTCGATCTTTCCAGGGGTCTGGAAAGATCCCACGTGTCGCAAAGCAATCAGTCCTGCAAGCTGCAACCACTGAAGCCTGTGCACCTGCAGCCCATGCTCTGAGACAAGAGGAGCCACGGCGGTGGGAGGCCTGTGCGCCACGCCCAAGAGTCGCCCTTTCTCACCGCAGCTGGAGAAAGCCCGTGCGCGGCAATGGAGACCCAGTGCACCCAAAAATGTTAAAAAATAAAAATAATAATTAATTAATGAAAAAAAAAGAAAACAGTAGCTTCCAGAAGTCAAATAAGTCCCCCAGATCAGCAGACAGCGATGCAGAGCTGGGAGACTCCGGAGGCCCTGAGCCTTCCACACCTTCCAGCTCTTCAGAGCAAGCAGGATGAGGCAGGCCGAGCTCAGTCGGGTGGACTCTTGGAGAGAGCAGGGCCCGGCGGAGGGCGGCTGTGTGGCCTCCATGCCTTTCCGGAGGAGAGTGCATGTCATAGGCCATCCCACAGTGTCCAGAGTCTCTCCCCAGACCACCCTGCAAAGCAGTCTGTGTGCTTTGAAGGCATCATTTTATTTAAGGGATGATGAGGTTGTGGATCAAGGGGAAAGAACGTAAGGACTGGTTTCACCAAGCATTTACTCAAGAAAAACACATGTCTTTATAAGGCACGGAATGGATGACTTGCTTTCCAACGGCAACGACAAAGATCACTTCCTGGGGAATTAATGAGAACATCTTGTCCACCCATAGACCCCCCACCTTGCTGAGGCTCAACCTTGGGTCTTATCCGAGGAAAACACATGAATCATGGTGAACGGGAAGCCTGGTGTCCAGCCAGTGGGGTGAGGATACTGGCATGGAACCCAAGCAGAAAGAAGCTCAGAGGCGGGGGGTAGACACTCAAGAGCTGGTCTGCTCACCCTCGGCCTTTACCTAGTTCTCACTGTCCCTTGATTGTTGTTGTTGTGGTTCAGTAGGTCAGTCACGCTTGACTCTTTTTGACCCCATGGACTGCAGCACTCAAGGCTTCCCTGTCCTTTACTATCTTCTGGAGTTGACTCAAACTTACATCCTTTGAGTCGGTGATGCCATCTAACCATCTCTTCCTGTTGTCCCTTTTTCTGCCTTCGCATCAGGGTCTTTTCCAATGAGTCAGCTCTTTGTGTCAGGTGGCGAAAGTGTTGGATTTTTTTTTTCTTTTATATGTAATTTATCAGAGACTCCTCAGGCTCTGGGCTTCCTAGGTGGCACTAGTGGTAAAGAACCCGCCTGCCAATGCAAGAGATATAAGAGACTCGGGTTCGATCCCTGGGTCAGAGATGATCCCCTGGAGGAAGGCATGGCAACCCACTCCAGTATTCTCGCCTTGAGAATCCCCATGGACAGAGGAACCTGGTGGGCTGTGGTCCCCAGGTTCACAAAGAGTTGGACACGGCTGAAGCAAATTAGCATGCACGTACGCCTCTGGCCCTCTTGCTTCTTCCTAGGAAAACAGGCATGCTGAGGGTCCTTGTGGCGACACAGAAGCGATGGTGTCCTGTAGCCCCTACTTCTCTGCCTGCCTCCCACCCACAGGCTGGTGCTGCGGCTGCAGTGATGTCTCTACGAGACCTCTGAGGTCAGTTTCCTGCAGCTCCTTCCCGCCCAGGTCCAGGCCCAATCCTCAGGGCCCCTGGAGTGAAGGCAGGGCTGCCCCCGTACCGGAGCGCGCTGAGGCTCAGTGTAGGGGCCCAGACCCGTCTCCTCCTGGGTTTGGGTCTCACTTGCCTGTAGGGACTCTGCAGATCATGGGCTCAGAGCTGCCGCTCCGTCTGCAGGCGGACGGTGGAAGAAAGCTTCGGGATCCAGCTTGCTCTTCAGGTGTGAGAGCCACCTACTTGTCCTAAAGGACCCCTCCCATCTCCCGCTGGTAGGAGGTAGGGGATGTGGGAGACATTTTCCCCGGAGGACGAGCTGTCTAAGGAATGTAGAAGTTATAGAAGGGGCAGAGAGGTGAAAAGCAAGACAGACTTTGCTGGGAAGGAGAAACGGGGGAGATTTTGAGTGCAGCCGCAAACCTCAGCTGTCACAAGAGAGAATTAAGGGTGAGTAGCTGAGCAGAATAACAAGGAAACCTTCGCATTTTCACTTGCTTCTCTCCGTGGCTTCTGGGGTGGCTGGTGGTGTGGCCCAGCTGAGCATCTTTACAGGAGCTGTGTTTCTGTAGTTCCCGCTGCCCCCACCTTGGTCCGCCTCACCCTCACCTCCCCGAGGCCCGAGGCCTTGGCGCCTGGACAGTCCCCCTGCCGTGCAGACAAGGGCGTTCATCTCCAACTCTTGCCCACAACCGGCGCCCCTCCCAGCCCACTTCACACCCTCAGCACTCCGGGCACGTCTGACCGCTTACCATGGTCTGCTCAGGGCGCTCTCCAGAAGAAGGCTTATCTCGTGGAATGCCTGGAGCTTGAGAGGGTTGGGTTTCCGTGGCCGCCAGCGTGGACTGCCGGCGTGTGTGATAGCGCGCCTGGAGCAGAGAAAGGGGCTGGGGTGGAGGCGAGCTCCACGGGACAATCAGGGTCACAGGTGGCTGAGACAAGACCGGGTCCTGGGGGGGAGCGCAGGTGGGAGTCAGCGCAGGTGGCAGGAAGGCGAGAAAAGCTGATCTGGTCCTCACAGGGGGCATGGTACCCACGCGAGACCCACGTCCCTAGGTCCTCCTGACCATGGGGATAACTTCAGCCTGGGCAACAGCGATGCCTGGTTTGGTCCCCCACCCACTCCCCTCTGTCTCCGCATCTTTCCTGGAAGGTCTAGCTGCATCATCAGAGGCTTAGTACTGAACCTCAGTCAAAGCCGCTGTCAGCATGACTCTGCCACAGCCATCCCAGTTTCCCTCCAGTGACCCCCAGGTCTTGTGAGGTCCCCAGAGCCGAGTCCTTCACTGAGGACCTTAGAAAGGCCTCCTCGGGTGGGGCCTGACGTCACTGAACAGTGCGTATGATAGCCAGGCCTCCACACAGGGCCTGCCCGAACCGCCTGCCCCCAGACTCAGTTCATCTTCCTTCTCACTGCCGCCTCGGCTCTTCCAGGAAATCAGGGCAGCCTTTGGCCCCACTTGGCTCAGGAGGGTGAGTCCCCGTCTCCCAGGTGTCTGACTGTCAAGGCCAAAGTCCCTCTGCTGATTTCATCTGGGGGCGTTTAGCGTTTCTTCTCACAGATAGCCGAACGCTGGTAGCCAGTCCCATTTCTCAGAGTTTCCAAAATAAGCATACAGATCAATACCCTCCAGTGACATATAATTTTAAAAGTAAGCAGCAAAAGACTTCTCTATGGGTGACATGTAGAGACCAGGCCAGGCTTGTGTTTTTAAGCAGAAACATTTCAGTGAAGTCTCCTTGGGCCCTGAGCTATTTTTGAGGTTGAGTGCTGGGAATCCTTCTGAGCAGCACGAGGGAGAGTCCCTCTGGGCACGCTGGACCACCCCCAGAGTTACAGACAGGATTGCAGAGGCATTCCAGAGAGAGGCTGGGAAAAACCTGACGGGAAGTATTCCCAGAACACTCAACTCCCAAAGTCCCTGCTGGCTGATGATTAGGGCATAACTGTAAACAAAGCCGAAGAGCTTCAGAGAATAGCATTCTACAGACGGCAAGCAGAAAAATGCCCTCCTGGCTCCGGGCAGCTCATAGCACCCCTTATGCCAGAGCATTCCAAGGTGAACCAAGCAAATGCATGCTGTCTGTTGCCCAGGGCCATATCTAAACACCACCTCCAGCCTCCACAGCACCCTTCCCTAGTGTGTCCCATTTCTCCACCAGACTTCCCTGAGGTTGGAAAGAAGAGAGATGGCAGGGACGTGAGGAAAGGGAACGTAGGCTAAAGAGGCAGGGTTGCTGAATGCTCCCCTGAACACCACGCAAGGCAGATTTCTGCTGGCCATGATCTGGTCTCACAGATCAAGGCATGCGTGGGCTTTGGAATTAGATAATCCTGGAGTCAATACTCACTCAGCTCTACCACTCAGCAGACTTGATAATTTATTGCAACTCTTTTCTCATCTGTAAAATGGGAGTGATGATTCCTAACCCATAGATAGGCTTTATTTTGAGATTATATATAAATGAATATATTTTGGTGTCTGGCACATAGGAGATAAATGCTACTATTATTATCACCACTTCTAGTACTTCTGCAAGTACTGGAAAATAGCAGCTGGTTACTGAGTGCTTACCATATGCTGGGTATTGGGTTAAACACTGTGAATACATATATTTTTTGGGTGTAAAACTTTTAAAAAAGCCCAGTAATTCTTAATATAGTAGAGTGCCACTATGTATCAATTTAGTTAAATTAGAATATCACTAGGGAAGGAAGGTTTGAAAAGATTGATGTTTCTGTTTGTGTTTGCTTACCTGAAATTAACTCAATATTTCACAAGCTACATGTACTTGAGCCAAGAAACAAAACTGTATTTTGGCAGGTGTTAATCTTGACAGTCTTAAACTTCTACATGGATATAAGAATTAAGACAGTTGGCTCTATGGACTAGATTAAAAACCTAGGGATTAAAAGATTAAAACAAAACAGAGTGGAATAAACACTACTTTAAGTAAACAGTCAAGTAACTGAAACCCATGTGTTAGGCATCAGCTGTTTAAATTATTTTACTATCTGATGTAATCTTTCTCAGCTGTGCTTCTAAGACAGCATCGTACATGAACCAAAATTCCTGGGCTCTTTAATAAGCAGAAAGGAAACATTTTCTGTTCTAGGCCATATTGATAAGGAAGCTCAAAGCATTCGCTTTTAAAATTATTTATTTACATAAAAACTTTATTTATTTGGCTGTGCCAGGTCCTGGTTGCTTTACGAGGGATGTCTGGCATGTGAACTCAGTTGTGGCGGGTGGGATCTAGTTCCCTGACCAGGGATCGAGCCCAGGCCCCCTGCACTGGGAGTGTGGAGTCTGGCCACCAGGGAGGTCCCTAGAAGTATTAGTTTTTACTATACTGTGCGCCACTTTGTTGGGGGAATCTATAGCTTTGATGATTCTCATACTGAGCGCCTCGGTCTGATTGAGAGGTGGGAGGGCGCCCGGTGGGATAAAAAGCTCTCCGTGGGTGTCACCACCCAGCCTGGAGGGGGACGTCTGTGCAGGATAACACTGCAGTTCTGTGCCTGCTTCCCTGCGGGGTGTCTGTAGAGACGCGCTGCCCTGTGCTTCCCCGGATAGAAAAACTTGCCTTTGTTTTTAAATCGTTCTATCTGGCTAGCAGGTTGAGGTGGTCTACTTTTCTTGGGATACAGACAGGATTTAAGGCATTCTACTTCAACATCTAATGACTGGATGAGAGCTACAAACGGTAGGGTGGAAAACATGAAGGAGATATTTGTTAATCCATTCCTGGTACCAGATGCTCCGGGGTGAGAGGCTTCCTGTGTTTTCCATCTTTCAGTTCTCACAATCAACCTGTAAATTAGCTATTATTAATTACTGTTATTAACTACTGCCTGAAACACAGTGGTACAGTTAGGATTAAAATCACAGTTTTTCCAGTATTCACCCTGCTATCCTAGATGATTGGTGTATTAGGAATAACTGATATATTAGTGTGTGCTCATTTGCTCAGTTGTATTTGACTCTTGGCGACCCAGTGGATTGTAGCCCACCAGGCTTCTCTGTCCATAGGATTTTTTAGGCAAGAATACTGATACAGGTTTCCATTTCCTCCTCCAGGAGACCTTCCTGGCCCGGGAATTGAACCTGCGTCTCCTGAACTGCGGGAGCATTCTTTACCTGCTGAGACATCGGGGAAGCCTGGTAAGCTGGTTGTAAGGACATTTGCTTTGTTATAATTGGATTTTAGTCTCAGATTTCCTGTTGTGTGATTAGGGGCAATTCTGTGCCTCTAAGATTCATTTTCCTCCTCTGTGAGTGTGTGCTTAGTCATGTCCGATTCTTTGCGACCCCATGAACCATATCCCACCAGGCTCCTCTGTCCATGGAATTTTCCAGGCAAGAATACTGGAGCGGGCTGCCATTTCCTAATTCGGGGGCTCTTCCTGACCCAGGGATCAAATCTGAGTGTCCTGTGACTCCTGCGTGGGCAGGCAGATTCTGTGCCACTGTGCCACCTGGGAAGTGCCCTCCCTATCTATTAAAGGGGGTAATAAAAATCATAATAATTTTATCTCAAAGCGTTGTTGAGAGAATTAAGAAAGGAAGCGCAAATACAACCTAGCATCTGGTAATGGCTTAAATCATACTGCCTGTTGCTCCTGCTTTGTTATTTATGTGGGGCATCATTAGTTTGATTGTGAAGGCTACCACAATACCTCTGTTTATTACACAGTGGATATTCACAACACCTCTATTAGCAGAGGTGAGGGTAAGAGAGAAGGTAGCAGTGTTTAGTTTAGGATGACATTAAGTAACAGCTACCCAGACTTTCAGTCCTAACTGGAGGGAGTTTAAGGGCAGTAAAAACAAAATCTCTTCCAGGGAGTCTTGAGTTTGGAGCTGACTTGAGGCTCAGGGAGACACGGGTGAAGCGTTCCCCTGTCCCCATCAGGAAGGGGAGAAGATGGGAGGATTCCTAATCTGGCTGCTGCTGAAAGAATTTAGTGACAAGGACTAGTGGCTCTTGTCACCACTTACCCAAACAGTGGTCTCTTGTCACTAATCCCAGGCCAAGCCTTAGGAAACTGTGATTGCGGGTGATGGTGGTATGTATATGTGTGCACGTGTGTGGTTGAGAGTACTTGAGGGTCAGACAACCACCATCATGTGGTTTTAGTTTCTCATCTCTTTCCCCTTTCATTTATTCATTTTTCATATTCATTCAATACACGTTGTTAGTTTCTAAGTTGTACCTGACTGTTTGCAACCCCATGGATTGTAACCCACCAGGCTCCACTGTCCATGAGATTCTCCAGGCAAGAACACTGGAGTGGGTAGTTGTTCCCTTCTCCAGGGGATTTTCCTGACCCAGGGATTGAACCTGGGTCTTCTGCATTACAGGCAGATTCTTTACCATCTGAGCCACCAAGGAAGCCCATTGAGTACATATTAATCAATATTTCTTCATTTTATTTATTCAACAAACATTTATTGAATGTTTCCTACTGACCAGGAACTTTGATGAGGTCTGTGCTAAAAACTTGAGTGAATAAAATCTGAATGAACTCACTGACAAATAAGCAAATAAATGTCACTTGAAGGGTCTGATATAGGCTCTTGAGGTAGTTAGCTCTCTGCCTGTCAGAAGACAGCATGGAATTCAGTTTATAGCAAACCATGGATTCCCACCGCCCCCCAAATTAGAGTTAGATGAACACCTTGTAAAATGCAAGTGCTGAAGTGATGGGTTGGAATGCATTCAGATTAGTGTGTACTCAGTCTGTGTGGCTGAAACTGAAATATAAGGTACAGGGTGAGGAGAGAGATGGAGAAGGCTGCCGAAGGAGAGGAGGCGAAAGGGCAGAGGAGAGGCCTGAGCAGAAGGCAGGGCTCCTGCTGTCATCTCAGAGGCTTTGTCCACCTTCAGAGGGGCAGCTCCCGGGGGACTTTCTTATCCTGTCTGGCTGCAACATCCTTTTGTGTTGCTGGCACCAGTTTCCATTCAACTTTAAAAAAAGAAAGCAAACGTAATATACTCTGAGCAGCTTCTAAAGGATTTATTA